TTCCGTGTAGTCAACAGACAAATATACCTAAGTTTAACGTTAATTCGGACCATACTTCTGATATCCTGTTTTTTTAGTTTCAATTATAACTGATACTATAAACATTTTTCCTCGTCATACACTACATTTCATTAGCTCACGAAACAAGCTGTATCCAGCTCCAAGCAGCAGAACTTCGAATTCATTAATTGTGATGTTTTTACAGGCGGATAGAGATAACTGCATAATTCTGAGGTTCGCTCTGAACCAGATGAGATGTAACACTTGTTTGCAGGATGTTGGATAATAACCCAAACAGTCACGCTTTATAAACAAAAGACAGATATATATATATATTCAGTGTTTTCATGCGTCAAATGCGAACAATCCGACCGTAAAGCTTGCTCAACAGATTTTCCATTATTTCAGATATGTTACTGCCTTTTATGGAATATAAATTGTAATCCTGATGACACATCTTACAAATTGGAATCGATTTTTTTGGTGTCTAAAAACCTAACAATGGTCTCAGTGTTGTAGTTTGAAAAACACACGGAGACGGTTGTTGGTTTACTGAATTGATCTGGCGGTATAATTTATCATACAACTTATACACAGACAGACTAACAGACACTAACAACCAGTCCTTGCCAGATCGTGATTAGTGTACCAAGAAGATACTTAGTATGCAGGGTCATATTAAGGGTGGGGCTGAAGGAGCAGCTGCACCATGGCGCCCAACCACTTGGGGGGCTCCCAGAGAAAAGAAATTTTGATGCATAATAAGCACTTTTATTTATTTGGGGGGGGGCAAATACTATTGTACTGCCCAGGCCTCACCTGACCTAAATCCGCCCCTGTTAGTATGTAAGCTAGTTTCTAATTATACCTTACACTGTCTTATCATTATTCCCATCAAATTGTTTGAGATGTAGCTAACGTACCTTCCACAACTAATGGGATGAAGCGGACACATGCTTATTATATTGATTTTGGTTTCCGTTTCTTTTCTTTTTTTTTTCACTTAGTAAAGCTATTACAGCTCAACCCAATAATCTAAGAAAGGAATCAATGTAACTACGCCCTACAAAATGAGTTCCTTTATGTATAAATGCGCTATTTGATTTTTTTTCTCTTCACCATCACAGGTGAAAATCATTGTAATTGTTCCAAACAAACAATAATTGTACAAGCAAAGAAGTTTTCTGTGATTGGTTGATTCCGCTACTCGCGCAGAGCTACATACACTTGACGTTCCTCGTTTTGAACTGATAGACTAGAGGGACGACAGCTAGTCAACAGCACCCACCGCAAACTCTTGAGTTACTATAATTCAATACTGATACTTGAATGTAACGTCAACAGCACCCACCGCCAACTCTTGGGCTACTCTAATTTCATACTGAGACTCCAATGTTACGTCAACAGCACCCACCGCCAATTCTTTGGCTACTCTAATTTAATCCTGAGACTTAAATGTAACGTCAACAGCACCCACCGCCAACTCTTGGGCTACTCTAATTTAATACTGATAGTTGAATGTAACTCTTATAACACACCAAAGTGCGGAGCGCAATGTTTTTTGTAGAAACGGGATGTGAACCATGGATTCTCGGATTCACAGCTCGTCACTATAACCAAAGTAGAACCCAAGAAAGTTTGAGCTAAAATAAACATTATGTATATTTTTTCTAATTAACTTGCTTTTCAAACTTTTTTGGCGAAAATTACTTTTTTTACGAATCTAAGTTTACATATAATTATTAAGGAAATCACTTACTAAACATAAATTTATTTACTTCTTAAGAATAGGTAAAACATTTTGATATGCAACATGAAATACTGTATAAAAAATATCCCTGATATCTGATAATGTTACAGCATGATCTCACTTGACTTTACAACAATGAGCCCGGCATGGCCAGGTGGCTAGGGCGCTCGACTCCCAATCTGAGAGTCGCGGGTTCGAATCCCCCGTCGCACCAAACATGCTCGCCCTTTCAGACGTGGGGGCGTTATAATGTGACGGTCAATCCCACTATTCATTGGTAAAGGAGTAGGCCAGCAATCTGAGGGTCGCGGGTTCGAATCCCCGTCCCACCAAACATGCGTGCCCTTTCAGACGTGGGGGCGTTATAATGTGACGGTCAATCCCTCTATTCGTTGGTACAAGAGTAGCCCAAGAGTTGGAGGTGGGTGGTAATGACTACCTGTCGTCCCTTTTGTCTATCACTGCTAAATTAAAGAAGGTTAGCGCAGATAGCCCTCGTGTAGCTTTGCGCGAAATTCATAACAAATCAAACTTTACAACAAGAGCAATTTCTTTTTTATTACATCTTATGTAATTGTGACATCTGCATGGAACATTTCCAAACATTTTAATGAATCAATGAGAAGCAACAGAAGTTGAGTATTAAATGATGGATTAGTTTATGCTACTGTGCTGTGCAGGCATGCCATGCGTTTTCTACCTTCTTATTTTGATGTGGAATTTTTCAAAATTTTTAATTTATCTAGAAATTTGTTAAGTTAGTTTTGCTCGAGCTACCTATTGTCCTGTGTTGTTCCCCCAGATCTACCCGTGGGGAAAATAGTTGTATATATGCATCATATATGAAAGTAGACAGCAGTTTTGTTTTTTTTCCAATGGTAAGTCAGGTGATATATCGAGGTTACAATCTCTATTATTTTCTAATGGGTATGACAGGCCACGTGGGTAGCGCTATTCGCCCTGGGAAGTATAATGCTATAGATTTTAAGAATATAACGTGATACCTTCTCAGACTCATAAGCGGAATTACGGGGAGCAAGAGGGAGCAGTTGCTCCCACGCTTTTTTCTGTAGAATACGAGTATAGTATAGTATACACACGGCATTCCCAGTAATTAATTAAGACTCCCAACATTTTGGTCCCAAATCCCACCCATGCTCAGACTAGAACAGGATTCTACACATCCCACAGCTTAGATGTGGAGAATTACTGATATCCAATTCTACAGTAGAGGCGCTTTATTCCGAAACAATACAAACTTTAGTTTGTATTATTAAATTAACATTGTTTTTATTGTGTGTTTACACTTGCGTCTGGTTTCTTTCTTTACACATACTCAATTATTTTCCAGAGAAATTTAGAATTACTTCGAAAAATTTCCTGGTCGAATTTTCAGTTATATATAGTGGACCTATCTTTATCTGAAAATACCACACTATCATTAAAAATAATTGATGATTTTAAACTATCAATTATCTTAATTAAAAAGTTTTTAAATATTTTATTTTCTAATTTGAAAGTAATGCATACTTAACTTAATGCAACGATATATTTTCTTTCTTTTTAACAACTTTGTAAATCTGAAAACGAAGGATATTGAAGAAGTCATTCTTACTTAATGTGGGTGGCATATAAACAAAATTAAAAGATACTTTGATTTTAAAAATGATTCACATAGCCTTGACATTTGGTATCCAGTTTTTGTTTACTCGAGCTAGCTACAAAACAACGTTTTTTAATTAAAATACCATTTTTGTTTCGTTTTGAGTTTACTTACTAATTACAAGTATTATTTTATTACAATTTACGGCTTTTACAACAAGGAAGATTATTTTTAAAACAGGTACGACGTTTCAGTCACTGGTGTGATCATTCTCAAGAACACAAGTTTTAACGGTAAAGGACGATTTAGACTGTTGAATGTTGTTTAAATACTAAAACCTTCTTCACCGTTAAAACTTGTGTACTTGAGAATGATCTAACCAGTGATAAAAACGTCGTACCTGTTCTAAAAATAATCTTCCTTGTTGTAAAAGCTATAACTTGTAATAAAATAACACCTTTTGCTTTTCTTTGTAAAATCGAGCAGTTAAAATAGTTTTTGGGTCGTTACAAAAGTAAAAGTAGTAAAACAATGGATAAAAACCATAACAAATTTCTACTGTAAAAACAAAACATAATAAAACGCGAATGATTGTATTCAAACAGGTAATCTACAACAGGGTTTTCTAAGTTTCAATTCATATACATCAACAACCCTATAATCAGAATTTTTCACATTCGAAGGTTTGCTTGTTTGTTTCATATATTCACACAAAGCTACCCAAGAGCTAATTGCGCCGTCCCTAATTTTTAATTGATAGACAAGAGGGAAGACGTTTCTGATCGAATAGAAGGATTTGACCGTTACCTTTATAACGCACTCATGGCCGTAAAGGCTGAGATCCGTAATTGGATACGCTAGATACTGAGCCACGCTCGGTCTCAGATTGGAGAGAATAAATATTCCGAGAAGAGCGAGTTCATACAAAATTTTGCTTATCCATTCATATGAAAGCGGTGTGGGAAAAAAATCGAAACGGTCATATTATTAGATTGAAAATATTATGACCTGGTAATAGCATAGTGTAATTTTAAAATACGAATACACAGTTTCGATAAGAGCTTCACATAACTCTTTAGATTAAATAAAACTCTTTGACTCTAGGCCAAACATGTGGCATAACTAGGTCGTTATATAAGTAAAGGTAATAGAAAAAAGCCGACTAGATTCTAAGAAGTTACAGTGAATCTAAAAGACAGCAGTAAATACTGTTGATTATCTACCTTCACTCCAGTCACCCTCTCAGTGGCTCAGCGGTACGTTAAAAACCGGGTTTAGATACCCGTGGTGAGCCCAGCACGGATGGTCCATGGTGTATCTTTGTGCCTGACTACAAATAAACAAGCCCCCCAGTAGCACAACGGTATGTCTGCGGACTTACAACGCTAGAATCCGGGTTTCGATACCCGTGGTGGGCAGAGCACAGATAGCCCATTGTGTAGCTTTGTGCTTAACTTAAAAACAAACAAACAAAATCACTATAGTTTGTCGGTTCAAAATTTAGGACGGCTAGCCCAAATTCGAGTCCAATTATTGTTATTCTGTGGTGATAAATAAAGTAGTACCTACCATGTCGCTCGTGATATCAAACTTACAAACATTTACACATTCAGAAATCCAACTTTTTTTTTTTCCTAGAAAGGATATTTCCATTCCACGATGCCAATACACGTTTTTCGTAAGGGATTTTTTAGTGTTAAACAACAAAGCGCGCGAACGGGTCTTTCAACAACTTTTGGACCTTTACGGAAAGGTCGTTTCCTTTCCCGATTTATCGCTGTTTGAGTTGAGGCTGCACCAAGCGCTGTTTTCCACGCACTAGACAAAGGTTTGACGTCACTTCCTCGACTTCGTATACTTCCTGTTCTGGTACCGATACCAGTACCAGTTTGTAGGTAGTCAACACTACCAGGTGAGCTCGCTAGACCACCAGATGGCGTAATTTGATGCTGATAAATGGGGTTATTAACGTCTTCGTAAGATACAGTGCAAAGAGCTGGCAAAGAGGCGGAAGATGATAAGTGTCCCTCTGGTGTTTGATGAAGATTTCGAAGCTCATCACTAGATGGAAACACATATTGGGCCGAGGGTGCTTGCTCATGCTGTTCACCTACAGAAATAATGAAATAAATAAAATTATTATCTGTTATATCACCTAATCTACACTTTTCTTTTGAAAGCAATTAACAATTATTGTAAAAATAGTGATTTAATAATACAATATTAATGTTTCATGAATCAAACCGGATGTTCATACCTGACTATTATTAGTAAATTTCATGTAATTCGAGTTAATAGGCCCGGCATGGCCAGGTGGTTAGGGCGCTCGACTCGTAATCTGAGGGTCGCAGTTTGGAATCCCCGTCACATCAAACATTCCAACCTCCGCTTTTGCCTGGTCCCAAGTCCAGGATGAGAAAGGAGGAGGGTTGGGCGCGTGGCTAGCAACTCCACCCCGTAAAAAACAACCTGCTACAAGTAACTACAACAACAACTTTCCGTTGGTGAGTTGTTGTTACGGCCCTATGCTCCATTGGGAGTTTACAGGAATAATAAAAACAAAAATTCGAGTTAATATAAAGAGACTCAAGCTGACCTCAAAGAGTCCTAAAAAACACGTCTCAGTAATAATGTCAGGGAAGAAATATGTCAGATATCTAAGTCTTCATAGAGAGTGTGGGCGATGGTCCATGGGACGGTCAAATTCCATTATTTGATCACAGTCGCCAAAGGGTTGGCGGGAGGTGGTATTGACTAGCCACTCTACCTGTTGTTTATTAGCTCAAAATTAGAGATAATGAGCGCAGAAGGCCCTCGAGTAGCTTTGCATTAATATGCGAAAAAAGATGGAATTTGTGACTGCATGATGTTATGTTAGTTAACATGTGTTTTTTGTTGTTGTTTCTTGCATTACGTGTTTTCTGACCGTTATGTAGTCCAGGAAAGAGAAACTTCTAACTTTCTGTCCTATGTTCAACCAAAATGAAAGAAATTAATGTCCAAACTATTAAAAATAAATATGTACGTATGTAAGTATATATATATATATACGTGCTTAGTTTCATGCAAGATATATTTCTAATCAAAGACAGTTTCGTTAAAAAGGAGTCCTAGCTGAGAATTATAGAGGTGAGAATGTTTTGTGAATGAGAACAACGAACATTTTCGTGTTTTATTATTTTAAAAAATAAACATAAAGATAATATGAAGATGAAATCATTTAGACGAATAGAATTATTGAAGTTATGCTTCTAGTGTTGTCATTGTAGAAGTTGTATTTTAGGAAGGTATTTTACACTGAGTATATTATTTTTATGCGCATTAATCGAATTGCACTTCCTGTAATGGACAGGATAAAAGATAAACTGCTAAGCATTTTTCTTTCTTGTCTTTAGCTTGTTCGATTTATTTGTGTTAATAGTTTATCAAAATGAAACACAAAAGTGTCGAAAACATTGTTTCCAGATATTTGTTATGACATCTGTACCTTTCAATAACCTAAATGGTGTTATTATATCATCTAGCATGAATTGTATGCCGTGATTAGCTAGCCGAGAGCATATCGAGTGGAATGATACATTCTTCAATTTTGCTTTAAAAGCTGGGTAACAGTGTTGCGCTGTTGTCAAGGCCGTTGCTATATGTGCCTGAAGTCGTAACAGATACTTGCAAACCAAAACTTTTTTGCAACACAATGAAAACTCGTTGATTCATTTAGGCCTAATTACAAACAATTTGCTAAAAATCTTAAAATGGGTGTGGGCATATTTTATGGCTGAAGGTTTCAGTTACTCAAAGATTAAGAGCCGCAGAACTTTGCATACGACAATTTTTTTTTTTTTTTTTGCTTTTTGTTATGTAGGTTTTTTTTTTATTTGTAGCACAGTGGAAATACGCTTATTCGTCTAGGCCTAACTTATGAACAACGTCGGAAATCTTGCCAGTATTCTGGGTAAATATTGTGCTGAAGTTAGACAGGTTAAATATTGGTAAGATGGACTGTTATATTTTGAAAATTGAAAAAAAAACTTATTGATTTATTTTTGATTCTTAAAATGAAATCAAAATTTTCAACCAAATGTCGAACTTTAAGATTTCCATGTAGGCCCAGGGATTTAGGCTAAATATAATAAGTGACAGCGCTAATTAATCAGATTTTAGTAAAGCTGAAAACAAAAGAGGTGTAATAAAACAATTATTGACTGGTGATTTCGTACAACAGAATGATTTGTTTCTTTCATATCCAGTCAATAATTGTTCAATGTTTTGTCATCTTCTGATAGAGACCAATTGAAGTTTCATCATATACCTAGCAACTCTTTTTAAATGAATACAATGAAAACAAATAAATCAAGCGAGTATTGTGTAATAATTACTGGCAAGTAATCGAGTAACAATATCGAAATAGTCAAAGGAAATAATCAAGAAATTTCCACTTCGTAGTTATCATTCAAACCTAGCACATAAATTAGACTCCTTCAATATCAAGGTCACAAAGACAATGTGGTCAACCACATTTTTGTAATTATGATATATCAAATGAATCAAGTAAATCAAACAAATATAACTTTAAGGGGAAAACACATTCGCCTACCATAATTTACTTTTTCAAACTAACCAAGTAAGTCACGTTTCTGGAAAAACTAAGAACACCTATTACCCAAACCAAGCCAGTAATTCAACTTCTACAAAACTAAAGCAAAGTGTTTAAGCACATTGCAAAGATGTACAATGGGCTACCAGTGCAGTGCTCACCGCAGGGATCTAACTCAGAATTTAATTTTATAAACCCTCTAACTTAACTCTGAGACACCGGGAGGCCATAATTAAGTAATAACCTGTGTGATTCTAAATATCACTCATCAAAAACAGAACAGAAAACATTCTTTTTTTTTGTTATATGTATGTATATATATATATATATTGCAACAATGAGCTAGACATTTTGAAACGTATACTGCCAAAATCAAGTAACAAACTTAATATCAAAATATATTCGAACATGTTTTTTATTTGTTGAAAACAAATCATATTCAGCCGTTTCATGACATAATAAAACCAAGCTGTGTGGTCGATTGTTATCGAAACATTCTGTACTTCAAAAACAGATGCTAAGATTAGGTGTTCTAAGGTGTTTATCTAACAAACAATGACAGGTGCTTTGATCACATTCTGTTTAAGAATTCCTATTTGTCCACCATTATATTGCTTGTGTCGAATGTTGTTAAGCATACATATATAAGGTTCACTAACATATGCTGTTATCACAGGTAAGGGAGGGGGAGATAATGACGCTTTAACTACGTATGTATATATTACAAAGTTAGATCTAATTATCCATATAAATAGGATTAGCGTAACGCTGTTGAATACCATCTCCAGTAAATGACGCCTAATAACTCGCACGAGCTACCATACCTAATGGTTTTGTACGCAAATTACGTCTATAATAACAGACACAAGATATACGAATAGCAAAACACGGATTGAATTTGTCACAAAATGTCCCGATTATGTTAGTTGCGGATTGTGGACACCGGTATAAAAACTAAATTTACAACAAGATATACTGGTTGTGTAATCTGCGGATAGTGGACACCAGTATAAAAACTGAGTTTATAACAAGATATACTGGTCGTGTAATCTACGGATAGTGGACACCAGTATAAAAACTGAGTTTATAACAAGCTATACTGGCTGTGTTATTTACGGATAGTGGACACCAGTATAAAAACTGAGTTTATAACAAGATATACTGGCTGTGTTATTTACGGATAGTGTACACCAGTATAAAAACTGAGTTTATAACAATCTATACTGGCTGTGTAATCTACGGATAGTGGACACCAGTATAAAAACTGAGTTTATAACA